TTCTTATCAATTACCTTAAGTTGAATCGTCTTGCTTTCAAAGCACTATTTAAAGTGCCCTTCTTTCTCCGCGCTGGCTGTTGTTGCTCTGTTGATGACGTCAGCGACACGGTTTAATCGGGCGCGGTTTAGTCGAGCGCGGTTTTGACGGGTCACGCTACTTAGCTAATTGATAAGAAAAGACATCTTTCCTTCACACAATTGAATTGACAAGTTTAAAGTCTACTCCCCTTCCCAAATTTCTGACAGGGCAACAAATTGCCCACAGTGGAGGTATCTGAATAAGTTCAGTGGCTGGAAAACCATCAGCTGTTTATAAAGCCTCTGGAGCCTGGAGAGGGTGAAAAAAGCATGCAAAAAGTGGGGGGAGCGCCTCTCATGCACGCATGCGCACTGGGGGGTTGCACATTGCATTATGGGTGCGGCATCCCCGCGCATGACCCCCCTGCACTCCCAGCCTTATGGCATGCGAACCAAAAAAGGTTCACCATCGCTGACTTAGAGAGTTGTAATTCCACCATGACAGGATTAATAATACGAACTAAAAGTCCAATATATTTAATATCCAACTTTTTAGACTGCTGCAAAGATGTTAGAAACTTGGTGGGAAGATAAACTTTGCCCCCCACTTTATAAGGTTCTGTTTGTTTCTTATCTTCTTGCACTTTGGCTTCACCAGGGCTTTGCAGACCACTGACCAAAGGTTTGCAAACAGTGGTGGGTTTCGAACATTTTTAGAATCTCTTCTGTAGGTGTGGCCTGCTTTGTGGGAGTAGCTTGTCAGCCATGTGATTGGGTGGGAGTGGCTTGCCAGCCATGTAACTGAGTGGGAGTGGCTTGGCAGTCATGTGACTGGATGGGCATGGCCAACTTGCAAAATGTGGTGAAACTCACTTAACAATGCTCTGTTGGAAGTACTGTGCCCACTGGACTCTTTTGGAGACATTTTCTGAGGAGCTTTGAGTGCTTCCAAGTTCTTGTGGTTGATCCATGCTTGAAAGATATTTTACTTCCTTCTAAGAAATGTCTCCAAGTTAGGAGTTCCCACTGACTGCAAAAGCTTATTTTCCCCATATTGACCATCTCTGTTCAGTTTCCGTTTTTCCTAGAGATATATGCACATGGTTGTAATTTGCCTTCTTTATTCTCTTGGAGTAAAACTGCACTGACTGCCACATCACAGACATCGTCCTGGATTACAAATAGTTTCTCTGGATCTGGGTGTTTTAACATCGGTTCAGCTGAAAAGAGTGGGTTCATTTTCTCAAATGCCGCTTGGCAATCCATAATTTACTTTAGTTTGCTAGGTTTTGATTTATCTACCCCCTTGGTTTTTAACAGATTTGTAATTGACAACGCTATTTGGGCAAAAGAGGGGATAAACTGCCTATAAAAGTTAGCAAACTCCAGGAAGCTCTGCAATTGTTTGAGAATATGGGAGGTTTCCCACTCAAGAACTGCTCTGACTTTTGCTGGATCCATTTCCACCCTGGTGAGAGATTCGGTACCCTAGGTAATCTATTTTATCTTGGCAAAACTAACATTTGGAGAGTTTGACAAACAACTTAGCTGCCCTTAGTTTCTTCAAGGACTTCTGCACCAATTTAACATGTTGAGTCTTTTAAAAAAATATTTTTATTAAATATTTTTACCTTTAAAAACAGGGGGAAAAATACAGAAAAAACAAGAGAAACATAACGATATATATAGTTTTACAACCTTCAGTATCAGCATATATGTTTAGCTTTTGTAGTTCTCTATTCTACATTGCCTTCCTATCGATTTTAACATCTGTAATAGTGTAATAACAGTTGTACTAACAATTGTAATAATATGAATTGTTCATATCACCATTATGTTTACATTATGGTCAATACTTTAAGTTTGATAGTAATCCTATTTCTTGTTTTGGCTTCTGTTTTCTAGCTACTTATAAATTCTATTCCATATTTTATAATAATCCGATTCTTCTCTTTCTTTTAACGCCATTTTGTCCATCTCTGCACATTCGAGTACCTTTCTAATTATTGTTTCATCTGCGGATGTATTGCTTTGTTTCCAGTTTTGTGCAAAAGCAATCCTAGCTGCAGTGAGTATGTGTAGTATTATGTATTGAAATTTATTGTCCATTCCCGGATCTAATATTCCTAATAAGAACAATTCCAGTTTCAGTTCTATCTTTTGCTCCGTAATTTCTTCCAGCCACATCTGAATTTTGCACCAATATTTCCTTGTGATGGGGCACATCCACCACATATGATAGAATGTCCCAGACTTGTGGCTACATCTCCAACATTTGGGGGATAGATTTGGATACATTTTGGGCAATCTCGCTGGGGCAAATGCCATCTATAAAACATTTTATAAAGCTTTTCTTTGTAGGCTACTTCTGTCATAAATTTATAATTTCTTTCCCACAGTTTGTCCCATTTTTCTAACTCTATATTATGACCAAAGTTTCTAGCCCAACTAATCATTGTCTCCTTTACTGTCTCTTCCTCCGTTTTATATCTTAAAAGGAAATTACATAATTTGGTAATCATTTTCCCTCCCTTTCCTAATAATATCTTATCTAATTCCAATTGCTTCTCATTGTTCCCAATCTTTTTTGAATCTTGTTTTGATTTGTAAATAAGGCCACCATTCCATATTTATTCCTTGTAAACACAGATCTTGTACTGATTTTAGTTCTCCTTTTTCATCTAAGAGTTCTGCATAGCTTACCATTTTACTGAGATCTATGGTATTTGGATATGTCATTGCCATCATTGTTGATAACCACATAGGTATTTTCATGTAATGATTCTTTTTTAATTTTTCCCCAGACCTTAAACAGGCATCTCTTACTATGTGTCTCTTGAAGTATGAATGAAGAAGGAATGGTTCCTTCTTATGCCAGAGGAAGCTATGCCAGGCAAGTTGGAGATCATGGCCCTCTAGCATAAGAATCCTTCTATTCTTTTAGTTGAATCCAGTCCTTGAACCATGTCAAGGCTGCAGCCTGATAATAAAGCTCCCAGTCTGGGAAGCCAAAGCCACCTTTGTTTCTACTATCTTGTAGAAGTTTGTATTTAATAATGTGGTTTTTTCCCTGACCAGATAAATTTGGATATCATTTTATTTAGTTGTTTAAAAAAAATTCTCTAATTTAATCACCATTGTTTGAAAAAGGTAAAATACTTTGGGTAGTATATTCATTTTGATTGTTGAGATTCTGCCTATTAGTGATATCTGTAGTTTAGTCCAATTGTTCAGATCATTTTGTATTTGTCATAGCAATTTATTGTAATTGTCTTCTTTTATTTATAATACATTTTGCCGACAACCATATTCCCAACTATTTAATTTTCTTGGTTCTCAAAATTTCCAATTTCTCCTCAAGTTCTTCATTTTGTCTTTTGGCTAGATTTTTAGTTAATATTTTGGTTTTCTCTTTATTTATTTTAAGCCCTGCCACTTTACTTAATTAGTTTATATCTTGTAATAATATTAATCCAGTTTCTAGGGGTTCTTTTACGATGAATGCTAGATCGTCCGCAAAGGCCTGCACTTTGTATTCCTGTGTTTTAATTTTCAATCCCTTTATCTCCTGGTTCTGTCTAATTTGTAGCATCAATGTCTCTATTAAGAGGATAAATAACAGGGTGGATAAACGGCATTCCTTTAGTTATGCTGAAAGCTTCTGTTGCTTCTCCGTTTAGTATTATTTTTGCCATCTGATTAAAATATATTGCTCTGATCATCTCGTTAAATTTCTCTCTGAAGTTCATTACTGTTAATTGATTTATAAGAAAATCCCAATTCAGGTTATCAAACGCTTTTTCTGCGTCAATAAATATCAATGCTGCTTGTTTTTCTGGGTGTGTCTCATATTCTAATATGTTCATTATCGTTCGTATATTGTTTTTTATGTGCCTATTGGGTAGAAATCCATTTTAGTCTGGATGTACGATTCCGTTTAGTATATTTTTAATTCTTTCCATCATTATTGTGATAAATATTTTATAATCAGCATTTAGCAGTGAGATTGGCCTATAATTTTGGATCTTTTGTTTTTCAGTGTTGTCTTTGGGAATTAATGTTATTAGTGCTTTGGTCGTATCCCATAGGTTTTGAGAGGTTGTCTGTTCATTCCAGTTTTCCTCTAGGAAAAATGCTAATTCTTTTTCCACATATTGAACATAGTTCTTTTCTTTCACAACCCCCTGATTCATGGTCCATCTCTTTTTCCTTTTTGCCTCTCCTTTCCATTTGACTGTTAATGGGTTATGGTCTGCCCAAATGTTTGGTGTTATTTCTACTTCCTCTACATCCTTCTCCATTTCCGGGTCCATCCATTAGGGGGTTTGAAAAGAATGTATATTGGTTCTTCTGAGGTTGATTTCTCTCCAGACATCTTTTAGGTTTAATTCTTGGGTCATTTCAAAGAATGCATTTGGTAGTGTTCTCCTTTCATATTTTTTTAAAAATCTTAGTCTTAGTTTTTTTAAAAAATTAGTCTTTCTTTGGATCTACCACTGCATTAAAGTCCCCTAGTAAACATACGTTGTCCAGTTACAATTCTGCAATCTGCTTATATAATTTACTGTAAAACCCTTCTGGTTTGTATTTGGTGCATATATAACTGCAATTAGTACTCTTTTTTGTTTATTGATATTTCAATTAATAGTGTTCTTCTCTCTTCATCTGCCTATACCTGTTTAGGCTTTAGACATTCCTTTACATATACTGCATTTCCCCTTTTCTTTGTTTCAGCCAAGGCCAAATATAATTTCCCTAACTTTGGAGATTCCATGATACTACCCTTTCCTTTTTTAATATGAACCTCCTGTAGGCATGTGATATCCATGTTTTGTTTTTGGAGTTTAGAAAATGTTTGTCTTCTTTGTATATGTGAATTTAATCCATTTATATTGACTGATGTTAATTTCACTTCTTCCTCCATTCTATTAATTGTTTGTCGCCCTTGTACCTCTCCTTAGTTTTGTTTCCCTTTGATTTCTTGTCCTCACTCCTTCTCTTTCTTGAAATTCTGTATCATTCTTCTCTCTCACTTCTTGGTCTAATCCTTTTGCCTCTGTCTGCTGCTCCTCTTGGCTTTTGGTTTCCAACTCCTCTCTGCTGTCCAATTCTTCCTCTATGTAATGTTCATAGAATTCCTGGACATTATCTGTGATGACAATCCTTATTTTCTTGTCTTGCCAGGATATTAGCATATATTCAGGCATCAACCAGCAAAATATTATTTTATATTTTATCAGTTGTGTGGAGATAAATTGATAGTTCCGTCTTTGCTCTTTGATTCTCTTTGGTATCTGTTTGAGGGTTATGACTTCCTTTCCTTTATAGATCAACTGTTCGTCCCTTGTTCTTTTGTATATTTTGTCTCCGGCAGCTTTTTTTGCAAATCTTATATATATTTCATGGGGTAACCTGTGTGATTGTGCATAATTAGTATGCACTCTGTAAATTTCATCAACATTATTCTGCAGTTCACATTTTTCTTTCTTTCTTTTTTAATAATTTTTTTATTTTATCAATTTCATATATACATTCACAATTATAAGGTCTCATAACTGTTATTAATAATATGTATTTATAACAATTTTTCCCTACTGTTGACAATTTTTCTATTTGCAGTGAGTCAGCTAATAGTTCCATCATGAGCTTTGGTAGGTCCTCTNGTAAACGAATCTCTCTTTTTACTGTTTGGTGCAATAGCACCACCTTGTGTTTAAAGTAAAATATAGCACTGAATTTAGGAAACTCCTTTGAAAAGGGCATTTATTGTAGTGTATAGAATAGTGTGTGCATCTTTTCAAAAGAACAAAATGTTATACAATCTTGGTGTCTTTTGTGATATCTAAGTAATGTATTAATAGCTTTCAATCTATAGAAACATCTGTGGAGATTCTGAGTCATCGTGGTCATGGTTGTTTCAAAGGTGCTTTTTCAAAAGGCAACTGAACAGTTTTTTCCATAAGGAAGAAGAAGACAGTTTGCTTCTCATCCAAGAAACCTCATCAGTTATTACATTGCTTCCACCTTTCACCCAGGACCAGTATGCCAGGATTTGCATAACCATTCATTTTTCAGATCAACTTTGTCCTGGGATGTCTATGGAGATTCTCAGTCATCCAGGTCATGGTTGTCCCAAAGGTGGTTCCCCCCTCCCAAAAGACAACTGGGCTTTCTTGATATTTTTTTTTGAAAACATTTCACTTCTCATTCAAGGTTTTTCAGTTTGTTCAGGGATAGTGAGTATTCTAGCAGATATCAAATAGTGAAGCAGATATTGAATATATGAAACTTTTTCAATCACTGGATAGAGATGTTATAGAATAATATATGGCTGATGCATTTTGTCAATATGTCATTCTCCCATTCCTGCATCACCAATCTAGCCACTATTAGATTTATGAGCAGAAAATAAACAAATCCAAAATTGATGTACAAAGCTTTCATAGATGCCTATCTCAGCTATTCACAGGGCAAATGCACTCTGATATGCAACTGCTATGACCATCTCAGTCGACATCTGCAACCCAGATACTATAGTTCCTTGAAATCTGGACTGAATTCAGCCAAATAAATATCCAGGGAGTAGAGTAGAGTAAAGTAGAGTAGAGTGTAGAATAGAAGAATAGAATAGAATAGAATAGTTGGAAGGGACCTAGTTCAATCCCTTGCTCAGGCAGGAAACCCTATACCATTTCAGACAAGTGGTTATCCAATCTCTTCTTTAAAACTTCCAGTGTTGGAGAATTCACAACTTCTGGACACAAGTTGTTCCACTGGTTATTTGTTCTAATTGTCAGGAAATTTCTTCTTAGTTCTAGGTTCCTTCTCTCCTTGATTAGTTGCCACTGGGCAGGAAATGCTCCAATCTTTGCTTCCAGTTTTGAACAGGGAGAGCCCATGTGTAGCCCATTATCCATGATAATGTCAAAGGCGGGGGGGGGGGCAGAGCCTCCCACTGCCACCACTACAGGTTTGCCTGAACCGAGGCAAACTGGCAGAATACCACCTCTGGTTTCCATCCATTGCTTCTTGTCCTGCCCTCAGGTGCTTTGGAGAATAGTTATTCTTTGTGGCTACTCCTAAGATATCAGAACATTGCTATCATGTCACCTCTAGTCCTTTTTTTCATTAAACTAGACATACCCAATTCCAGCAATCATTCTTTATATGTTTTAATCTCCAGTCCCCTAGTCATCTTTGTTCCTCTTCTCTGCTTTCTTTCTAGAGTCTCAACATCTTCTTTATATTATGGTAATCAAAACTGAATGCAGTATTCCGAGTGTGGCCTTACCAAGACATTAAAAAGTATATAAAAGCCATGATGGTGCACTGGTTAAAGTGCAGTACTGCAGGCTACTTCTGCTGATTACCGGCTGCCATCAGTTTGGCAGATCGAATCTTACCAGGCTCAAGGTTAACTCAGCATTCCATCTTTCCACGGTGGGTAAAATGAGGACCCAGATTGTTGGTGGCAATAGGTTGACTCTGTAAACCACTTAGAGAGGGCTGTAAAGCACTGTGAAGCAGTAGATAAGTCTAAGTGCTATTGCTATTTCTATAAAGTGGTATTAATACTTTGTTGTGGCCTGTCAGCCATCAACTCATCCAGCAGTTGAATCAGAAGAGAAGGCAGTGTAGGAATCAGGATCAGCATCAAGGCTACTTGAGAGATCCAAGGGGGAAGAGGGAATGGAGCTGGCAGAGAGAGAGAGAGAGAGAGAGGGAGGGAGGGAGGGAGGGAG